ACTATGGTACACTGAAGTCTCAATTATTCTTAGCCATCTAAATAACTAATATATTAATTAATCTTGCACAAAACATTAAAAAAAAAAACAAAAAATATCCCGCCAGGTACAAGTTATTTGTTACATACGTATATAAAAATCCAGTGGCATATCAAGTAATGTATCTTGTAGGATAACTAGATTAAAGCAAAAGTGTTACCCTCAATAAAATTATTATTTTACTTGACACATATTTCCAATATATTTAAATAAGGAAAAGGTATTGGTTGTAGTTATTTTCAAGTATTTAATGATAAAAAACTGAAATAATAAGTAGTTAACTCAGTACAATGTATTTTTTGTTTAATTTTATAAATTAAATGCCTATAGAAATGTCACTATTTTTAATTTTGTAGATATAGAACAACAAAAGTAATATTATTGGCCACTTAAATAATATTTGTATCTCCCAAAATTGTTCTTTGATACTTGTAACTAAATGAGGAGTAGTTCTATTTATATAATAGGTTTATGTTTGCATATATATTTCAAAGTAAAATTTGGGAAGTGTTCTAAAAATTGCCAAAAAGGTTAAATATATAAATTGGTATTTTACAAAATTATTGAAAAACATTAAAAAATGCATTGTATTTTGAGTTGAAACAAGAGCTGGTACATTAAGATGAGGTACTAAGACATAAAACATACAAAATGACACATAATTTTAGATAAAATAAAAGATAAAATTCATATTTTCAAGCAAAAATGTGAAATTAAAAGTATAAAAAATACAAAATGTCCTTCGGTATTTTAAATTTTGATTACATTCAAAGCTGTTTTTGAATAAAATAAAAATTAAAATTACCAAAACTTTAAAAAATCTTGAATGTACACATCAAATGTTTTTTATTTTTGTTAAATTTATTTTAAGATTGCTTCTAAAACGAGCAAAAAATGTAGACAAAATTCAAGCTTTTTAAAATCTGCATATTTTTTTAAATCAGGTTTGAATAAGATATCGACTGAAAATGTACTCCTGTTGATTCTTGTAAATTTTAATAAATAAAACTTTATTAAAATAAATGTTTTTTTTTTTAAATTCAATTAAATTCAATATTAAGCACAAAGTATTTTATTTATTTGTAAACCACATAAAATATAAAAAGTTTATAGACATTTTGAACATTTAATAAAATAACATTTTTTAATGCGCGTTTTCTTTTTTGTATTTAAATATTTACTATTATTTAATATGTTACGCCTTATAAAACAAATCATTGAGAGCTAATAGATGCTAACAAAATATGCAGGGTGTTTTATTTAAAAATTCGTAGATATCGTTTTGGTTTATCCTATATCCAAAACAGTATACAAGGTGTACTATAAGTGATAGATCAATAAAAGTGAGATAGCAGGGAAGATTATTTGCAAAAAAGAAAAAAATATATTATTGTTACCCTGCACCCTGCAGTACGAATAAAAGAAGACGAAAGAACAGCCTAGAAATTTCTAAAAATGTCATTTTGTATCAAAAAACGTCTGGATGGTTCAATAAGGTTAAAGGGAGCTATATTAGTCGATAATCCTGACGTCACAACTCAGTTTGATAATATACGTTGTACTTTAATGTTCATAATTATATATTACAAAAGTTTGTGTTTTGCAAATAAATTAAGTTTACCAAAAACAAAAGTAACAATTGGTGACAGCGGTAGGATCTAAAATAAAAGTTCATGGTAAATACTAGACTCACTGAGTACGAAACAGACATCAATGCGTCAGGTCCCCCAGCATGGTTTTCGAAGATGTAAGAGGAGAAGAAAGATGCAGGAAGGAATAAGAAGAGGAAAAGGAAACGCTCAGAAAGGAAGAAAAAAGAAAAAAAAAGAAAACGGAAAGACGCAGGAAGGTAGAAGAAGAGGAAAAGGAAAGACGCAGGAAGGAGAAAGAAGAAAAGGAAAGGAGGAAGAAGAGGAAAGGGAAAGTATCAGGAAGGAAAAAGAGGAAGACAAGCAAAGGCACAGGAAGGAAGAAAAGGAGGGAAAGAAAAGGCACAGAAAGGACAAGGAGGAAGAGAATGAAGGAAGCCGTAAAAAATCAGAGGGGGAAATTATGAATGAATTGCTTCAAATTCAAGAAAATCTTAGACAAGAGGTAGACCAGCTTAACAGACTCGCGTCTAGAGGCACGAATTTATTTGGCTCCCCGGCTTCCGCATGCGTAAAATGGTGCATGTAGTGCATAGCTGGGTATGGGTTGATGTCGCCGCCACCCTACGATAAGTCGTTGCTTCGTTTTCTTGTTGTATATTTATAGACCGGTATGGGCAATCACAATTTTCCATTAACTATTGAACAAAATCAAAACATGATTATTTAACTTGAAATTATTAAAAACAATGTAGCATGACAGCATAACATAACCTCAGTCAGAATTACCTATCTACGCACTACGCATGCGGAAGCCAGGGAGCCAAAGTGAATTCGTTTCTCTAGACGCGAGTGCTTAACAGTCGAATATATCTCTTAGCGCAACAATAATTTAAAAAATAATTTAGAACAACAAGAAACTGCTAGAGTAGAGTTGAAAAGGCACATAAAAACTGAACTAGTTGAGTTAAAAAGAAGAATTCGTAGCCTAGCTTCGGTTATCAATAGTGAAGCTGAAAACACTACCTCGTCCTAATCTATAAGCCATATTCAAAATCCAGTTTCACAAAACCATTCTAGCAAGACCATTTAGCCACCCATGTTTGACAGTCAGACAACGAGGGAAACGTATCGACTCCAATTTGAAGCTGCAGCTAGGGCCAGCGGCTGGGCCAAAAAAGAGATGGCAGTTTTATTGATAGTGTCGCTGCGAGGACAGGCATCAACCGTTTTACAATTACATCCCCAAGGAGAATCTAGTTATTCTTCTCTCTTCCAGGCCTTGGAGACAAGATATATGGCCAACAGCACTTAAAACGGGTATCCCAAAGGCAGCTAACGGTTCGTGGTCAGAAATATAATAAGAGTCTACAGAAATTCGAGGCCGATATAAAAAGATTAATTCATCTGGCCTGTTCACAGGTGCCCAAAGATTTCCAAGAACAAATCGTTATGCAGGTATTCGTTGATGGACTACAAGATGCTGAAATGCAGGAAGCTCTTCGGATACACCATAGGACGCTGAGGAATACGAAGCAGCAAAACTCATATCTAGATCTTCTTGACAAAAGTAAGATAAATTAGATCCCAGGAAAGTAAAGAGTAGTATTGGCCTATTATTACCCAACCTATTCTCTCACAAATCTTGCAAAATGTGAAACGAAACAAACAAAATGCAAGCAGAAGATTCTTTAATTACAGAAGAATCGGACACCTTCAAAGAACCTGTGGAAGCAGGGCTCGATCTATAAATCGAGAATCTGAGAATGAGGCTAGATCAATCTCCCGACGCCTATCACGAAATCTAACAAGAAATAATTACAGCAGATATGCTTCCCAGAGAAGCTGGTTACCCACACCTAGCCGGCTTTCTAGCAAAAACCAGAAAGTAGTGCACCGAAGAGGCCGTCTCCATAGCAACGCAGGCATTCTCTATAGGCGACCCTGTTTAGAACGACAATGCTGGTACTGTAAAAGTCTCAAAGAACGAGAGGAACCGGTTAAAGAAGTTCGTATTCAGATAAACTCTATCAAGCCAGAGGGCGACGAACAAGAAATCACCCTTGAAAGCCTGATAAAGGAACAAAAGAAAAACAATGACTTGAATGTTGTCCGAGAATGGCTCAAAAATAAAGTCAGACCTACTTGGAAAGAGAGCCAAATATAGTGAAGCTATTAAAGGGTACTGGACTCAGTGGAATTCTCTATATCTTGACGATAGCCCATTGCACCGTAAGTGGGAGAGCCCCGATAGAGTACATATAGTCCGAAAATTGATACTGCCAAAATTACATATCAGAAGTGTGTTGGAGGCGTTCAGGAGGACATTTTAGTATTAAAAGGCCACTGGCACGAGTTGGGGACATATTTTTTTGGGTCGATTGCTAACCAAATGTAGAAGATTGGTGTAAAAAAATGCGATTTATGCAATGGCAGAAAAAAGGTCTACAGATTCGCTCGAAAACGTTTGAAATCTAGAATCGCCATGCAGCCACATGGAAATATTTTGAGATAGGCGACCTAGTATGACTGTACAATTCCAAGCGCTGAAAAGAACTTTGTTAGAAACTTCAACGTAACTGGAAAAGCCCTTACACCGTCATCAAGAAAATCAACGACCAGGACAGGGATTCTTATGTGCGAACTCAACACGTTACTTGTTGAATAGAGAGAGACATTACATAAGAATCGGATTCTGTCGAACGAAGATAGGCATCTCGACACGTGGCGTTTGAAAGATGAGAATCCCACTGTTGATCTAACGCGTTCAGTTTTCAGTAGGAAGTAAACCCAAGGAAGTTCACATTGGAAAATTAGCGCCATACCGTGGTCCAGATCCTCCCCGTTGGTTCCAATCAGGTCCTAGTAATGAATTTATTTGGGAAGAATAATAAGAGAAGAGGAAGCAATGTTACCTTGCACCCTGTAGTAGCGGACGGTTCGAGAAGGTTCAAGGGAGCTATATTAGTCGATGATCCTGACGTCACAGCTGAGTTTGATAATAGACGTTGTACGTTAATGTTCATAGTTATATATTGTAAAAGATTGAGTTTACCAAAAACCAGCGTAACACTATACAGGGTTGGTCTCAAGTAATGGGCCAAATTGTAACCGTATTAAAAAGGTTTGAAATCATGAATAATCACATAATATATAGGATTATTCCGAGTGCAAATAACCTCTCTTGCCACCTCATTTCGTTTGATCAATGACTTATGTGACACACTGTATAAAAACGAAATAAGCGTTAAAAATAAAAATTTATCTTAAGAAAATACGTTGTATATCAGCAAAAGCTGTAAAATTTTCAAAGTCAAGCCCGATTTACTAAACATTTTAATAGATTACAAATATTTTACATGACAGGATGATTTCTAAGGTGATACTTCTTTTTTATTTATGTATAGAAATCAATAAGATAAACAATGTTTTCAAATACCAATTTAAAAAAAAAATCAAAAATAATATACAAAGATTTAGGTATGGCGACCTCGGTGGCTACTCCAGAAAAAAGTGACAAAATAAAAAACCCAACTCCGGGCCCGTGCATTAGTCAATTAGTTTTAAGACATTAGCATACCTAAATCCTTCTGTTTTTTCCTAGTTTTTAAAAAATTGTTTGAAAACAGTGTTTACTTTAATGGAAAAAAAAAGTATCTACTAAAGAATCACCCTATATGCATGGCTGACAAGATCTGGCGAGTTTTGCTTGCCTAAAAGTGAATAATAAATAGTTTTTACATAAACAAGGCCTACTGCGTTGGATAAATGATTCCACTAGCAACATCGATTCTATATCGTTTCTTCTCGTGCATATGTGAACTCTATTTATCTTTCACTTTGGCGCAACTGTATACCAGAATGTGTCATTCAAGATTTTTTAAAAACATTTAATAAAATTCAAACAACTTGTACAGTAGTATAGGCGCTGAAAGTAACCTTTTTATCGTTCTTCTTTTTACTATCATCTTTATTGTTTTTAATAACGCTTTTTAAATTGTTATCCTTAGTAACGATTATATTTTTATCGCTAATACTCCACTTTGAATCGCCAGCTTCCTCTGGGAAGTCTCTCAATTTTGAACTGAGTCCAAATAGTCTATTGTTGATATTCTGGACAGAATTTTCACCTCTAAGATAGTTAGACAGAGCTAGATTTTGGCTGTGGGCAGAAAAATGACCGTCGCCCCTTTCTATCAAGTGGGACGTCGAATAAGACAACGGATAATCTTGCGTGGTATCTATATACCTGTAAGCCATAGGTATGAAATTCTTTTGCTCAACGGTAGTTCTAGGATTCTTCTTTAATAATCTAGGCATCGAGTTCGTCCAATTCTCTAAAACTTTATTCTTCTTCAAAACACCATCCAGTTTTTTAGGTTCGTACTTCAACACCTGCCTTTCTTTGGGTCTTAAAATTGAAGACAAACCCGGTTTGCTTAAAAGATTGAAATTCTGCAACTTCTTCGGATGCGGCTCGTTCATGGAACTCTTAATTATCAACCTGGTTTTGTCCAAATCCTTTATAGGATCGAAATTGACGCTTACTCTCACGAACTGTCCGCTGAACACATCTTGCTTTTCGATCTGGACAGGTGGTGGAGGTGCTTTTCCCTTTTTTCTTCTTTGAGGTCGTTTCGGGGGATCCAAGAGGTCTTCGGCGCTGTTCCAAACTTTTTTTAAGTTCGTTTCCGCTTTGACTAGATTTGATTTGTTGTCGTCCAAGTGCAGGATGTTTTCGATTGAGTTGGATTTCATTATTAGCTTAGTTTTCGTTCCAAGTTTCGAGTTGATCGTGTTGTATTTGATATCGTTAATCAACTGCGATTCTATCCTCTGTCTGGAGTTAACATCTTTTTGCTTATGTATAGCTAGTTTATCTAAAATATCGCTAGTGGTGTTGATGCTAATGATGCTACTGGGGCCGTCGTTTGTTACGGTTCGTGTATCTGCCTCTTTAGTAATCTCTATGTGCGTCACTCCATTCTGATCAGTCCTTTGCAGTAAATTAAATCTAGTCGTTAGGCTTTTTCCGTAAGCTTTCTGGTTAGCGACTGCTTTTAAGGTGGTAAAATTGGTATAGAAATTCTTCATGAAACCGACGTTTTCGAATTTAAACACCAGCGCTTCGTTTTTGATGACGAAAATTAGGATGTCGGTGCAGTTGACGTCCGTGTAGCAGACGCAGTCGACCAAATTGAAGCTTTCTTTCGCCCGTTCCGGCGTGACTTCCGGTTGGAATGGAAGCGGCAACGTCGCTTCTGAGGGCTTAGTTTCCGATGTTTCCGTGTCGGAATCTGAGCTGGAGGAGCCGTTGGCGGAATCAGTCTCTGTGGTGGGTTTGGAATCATTCTCTGTCAGTTTCTCAATGGTAAAGCTATCGTTATCGCTGGATACTATGGATAGACTGTCGATGTCTGATTCAAATCCTTCGTCTGTCGTAACTAGATTTATTTTTCGATCGGGTTTGGATAGTAGTACTAAATCAAGATGGCTGTTGTTGAGCTGAAGGTCGTATTCTAGTAGCGGTGTGGATTTCTTTTGAGCCTTTTCCACCAAGGCGGATAGAGAGGCGGCAGAGTCTTCTCTTAGAAGTAGGACTGGCATTTTCGGATGGCATTATCTGTAACAAAGAGAAAAACTTGTTAGAATTTTTGATACACCGTGTATGCAATAGTAATAACTTTAATTAGGCATAGTACAGGTTCAATCATATAAACGCTCTCATATATCAATCTCGAATTATGCCTTTCATTCATATATTAACATAATATTTCGCATTCAAGAGCTAAAGGTCAGCTGTACCTACATAACTAATGATCAATGAGCAACTATCAACAAATATTTCTCTCTTATTATTACATTATTACATAATCAGAAATTGCTCATTTTATTTCTTCTGAAACAAATATCGGTTTAATAATAATTATTGTCTTATGTAAATTCGAATTTTTTTATTTACACGGTGGGCCAACGAACATTTTAGATTTTCTCTTATGTTTTAATTATTTTGTAGAGACGTTTCAACAATTGTTTGAAATTGATTTTGAATCATTGTCTTACTCATATTATATTGTTATGATATAAAACTTTAAAACTCCCTTTTTACTTTCCTATCTGTATACAGATATAAGGAACGTATAGGAATCATGATTTTTTTCGACCTCGAATTTTCGACGGATTTTTACGTTTGAGGTCCCCTGAATCCGTTTTGACTATTTTCGCGATGATGTCTGTGTGTCTGTGTCTCTGTGTGTAGCATAACTCATTAACCGATACACAGAAAACACCAAATTTTAAACTTAAGCTTTGTTCCAGCGTCCAATGAGCTGATTAGATTTTGGGCAAAGTCGAAACATCTAGGGGGGTACTTTATAGGTGGTCATTTTTATATTTTATGGAATATATCTGTTATTTACGTTTAGGGAAGAAAATTTTTCAAATAAAAGTTAATTCTTATATTATTATCTATAATTTTTGTTCAATACAAAATATTCCTAAAATAGTCCGTATTCGAGAAATTTGACAAAATGTAAAAAAATATTTTTTTATAAAATTTGTTCAAACAAAAGTTGTTTGTAATATAATTCTCTATAATTTTTATTCTATACATAATTTCTCTAAAATTCGAGATATTTGAGAAAATGTGTAAATTTCGAAATTTGAAGAAAACTCAGAAACGGATAAAGAAAAAAACATTAAATTTTAAACTTATTTTATTTCGGCCTGACGTGAAATGATTAGATTTTGGACAAAGTCGGAACATCTGGGGGGGGGGGTACTTTATGGAAGGCCGTTTTTATATTTTATGGAATATATGTTATTTATGTTTGGAGAAAAAAATTGTTCAAATAAAAGTTACTTCTAATATTATTATCTATAATTTTTGCTTTATGTAAACAATTCCTGAAATGGTCCGTATTCGAAAAATTTGACAAAATGTGCAAAATTCTGATTTTTATGAAAATTGTTAAACTAAAAGTTGTTTGCGATATCGATCTCTATAATTTTTGTTTATACAATGGAAAAATTGTAGGAAAAGTGCTAAATTTAAATTTTTCAGTATTTTCGTTTTCAATGAATATTTATAGAAAAATGTTTCGAGGTAGATGTATGTGAAAAATGTATATATTTAGTTTATCCTCTAAACATTTATAGAGGTGCTGCAATAGGTTGTACAAAATAACCGGAAGAAGCCTGTAATAACTAGATAGGAAAGTCATGTGTTGGACACATCAGATTTTTACCTTTATTATTGAATTTAAGGTACATGGACATTAAAATCTAAAAAATGTAAACTGTTGAACTCTATCACCTTCTCTTGTATACCGAAGATATGTTTAATCAAAAATTTTTAAAGTGATGCAAATAATAAATAAATAAATAAATACAACAATATAGAATTGCTATAAAGCAATTTAATTTCATTAGCTAAAATGTTGTTTCCTAGATTTTCGTTTGGTATTCGAAAAATTTGGATGTAAAATTTTCGTTGACCTACCCTGTACATTTTGTTTGCACGTGAGGTGTCGAAACAAACGAATTTTGACACGAAACATTTTTGGTTTATACTATATAAATTTGCGTGCGTCTGTACGAAGTAATTGTTGAAATATTGGTTTTCGCTCGTTGCAAAATACTTATATGATAATTAATGACAGGTGTGGTAAGGTTTTATTATGCATATATATTTTTAAGAAGCAGTTTAAATTGGTATTGAGGTTTAACTTGAACTGTAAGGCGGGTCATGGGTGCGGAAAATGTAATTTTGTATCTGCAGTTCATTATCTTATGTTGTTTTTATTAACAGAGGTTAAGATTTGAGAAAATCTTACAAAATATGTATACAAGAACATACTTTAAGTACCTATATAGAGTTAAAACATGCTTTTAGTGGAATATCAAAAAAATCCTATAATAGTATATATGATACAAATGTTCCTTTTGTTAAGCTAGACTTATTTCCATGATATTATAGTATTTAAAAGGAAAATGACAGGTAATTTAATAAAAATTTCTTGCGTACTTGAACAATAAATTTACACCACAACCTTATATACTCCCGGAAAATCTTACGGGTCCCATTTAGGCCCTATGTTGTTTAATATGCATATTAATAATCTTTAACATAATAATTTAAATGTCAATTTTTATCAAAATTTATGTTAACATTTTATTGAATTTTTTTGTAATCTGATAAAAGGACTTCCTAAATTTAGAATAACAATGATATACAACAAATTCTTTCGTAATATAGTACAAAACGCATTTAAATACCCATACTTACTCCATTTTTCACGCTTTCTGAACAAGAAGACGCAGAATAATTTTTTTAATAGTATAGTCAAAGTAAGAAGAATTTGTTTTTAAAATAGTTCAAATGCTTGCATCGGTTTTAATTTTTTTTATAAGTATTTGATTAAAAATTATCTGGAACTACGGGAAAATATTTTATAATAAAATAACCACAATAATTATTAGTTTTAAGATTGTAGATACAAACTAACGTTTTTAAGAGATGCAAAAAGTTATAATGAATTATTTATCGTCAGACTTTCATCTTATATATGTATCTTTTACATTTTATATGGTGCATAACAAAAACCATTATGGACCCTATCTGTAAGTTTTCGCTCCTAAAATATAAGAAAAAAGATTATTCTGGAATAAAAAAGGGCGATTAAGAGAAAGTAGAAGAAGATAAAGGCAATAAAGAAAAAAGCTATTAAGAGAAAGTAGAAGAAAATAAAGGCAATAAAAGAAAAAAGAGATTTAATTAAATAACATAGAAATAATTTAAGGTAGGTATGTGAAAAATGCTATAAAGAATTCAATCATAATAGAACGAGCAAATCTAAGAAATACTTTGAAGAAGCCCTAAAGAAGATTCAATATACTCAAAAATTGGTTTCACGTAAATCCGTTTGATGACATATAGTAATTGAAACTAAAAACAATTATCATTTGAACAGAGCACTCGATTTTTATTTATTTTTATATACGTTTTCCAAGTCATTCACTAAGGGGTTTATTCTGTAACAATTCCTTTATATTTAACGGCCTTTAATAATATTTTCTTCTTTACTTCTGTCATTATTTAAACGGATCTTTAAAATACATTAGAGGACTATCTTAAAGAAATCTGTTTAAATAATGACAGAAGTAAATTAACGAATACGAACATATTTTTATAGGCCGCCAAAATTTTTAAAGGCCGTTAAATATAAAGGAATTGTTACAGAATAGACCCCTTAATCAGATAAATAATTGAAATAATTTACTGTATTGACTGGACTATAAAATTGTCGAGTGCTTTAATTTCTCAATATCGTACGAAAGTGTAAAATCAAGACCATCATTTACAACTATATTATATTAACAGTTCTTAGATTAAAGTGTGATGCATGTACTATGAATATTAACTAAGTATATCACAATAATTTTCATAATTAATGAATGTCCTCGATAGTATTCTCGAGAGTAATTTGAGTTTATTAACATCATCACAGAAGCGGAATAAATGGATAGCTGACAGAAGGACAATAAAATCAGGAAAATTATTTTTTTTTTAGCATTCTTTCATATAATAGAAATCCAAAAAAAAAAACTAAAAAACTGGAAGCTGTCTAAATTATTGAAAGCGAAATATTCATTCAAATAATTTGACTCATTCCTTGTCACAGACAAAAATGAATGTCCATATAAAACACGTGGCTCGTCTAGAAAGTGATAACGTCATCAAAATTTTCAAATTTTGTCACCAATAAGAACTACATAGTAATATTATAAGTATAAGGAAGTTTATTGAACAAAACGCTGGTCATTTTTTTGTTTGAACAATAACGAAGGTTGATCATAGGGATTCACCTCTGACATATTTATAGTGGTCTGGCAGTAGTTTGGCTAGTTTAATTTTTTGACAGTTTTACACAATAACGATATAGGTTATACAAGTACTGCCATTTAAACGCGGACCATATAAGCCAAATCTATTAGAGGCGAGAGTGAGAGTAAAGAGGAAGTCGTACGTATCGTGCGTCATGTGCTCCGCGCTGCTCAGCGGTCTTTGTTTTTTCTCGTACGGTCCTATTATACCTTATCCAATTGATTGTATAATAGAGGGTCTGTCTTTAGATTTCCGTACCTGTATACCTATTATGGAATCCAGTAAATGTAGTTCCACTTTCAAAAAGAAAAGCTAAAATGTTTTTTTTTTATTTGAACCCGAAGTGGCTCTAAAAATTTGACAAATTTCACTCTATAATATTAAGTCCTATTTTTTAGAGGTTTTGAGCTGCACAGTAGCTCATATTTTATGATTTTGCGCTATATTAGATCAACAATAAAATGCTATTGTTACTAATAAAGCAATAAAAATTAATTCCTTGCAAAGAAAGTGAGAAGTCTGAAGAAGTTATCTTAAAACGAGATAATAAGTGACATAAGTATTGCAGTTTCGATTTACCAAGTAAATAATAATTCTTCTAAACTTCCAGATAAACAAAAGGTTCTTGCGTTCGCTGTTGGTGAGTGTCCAGCAGTGTAAATTACACCACCTTATTTACTTCATTTACTTCCTTTTTATTCCTTATACACATGTCGAGGATAATTCACTCCTGCTAA